TCCCCCCCATCTTTTACTCCCTCCCCTGCCTCTCTACGTGCCATCCTCCATCCAATTTAACAGACTGACAACATTACTATACAGATAGCTAAGCATTCAGCATCACTGATTGGATGCAGGCCCGTCCATATACCGAATAGATGTTGGCTTCACTTATACTTTGAGCCACGAGAGGAGTGGAGTTGCATGTGCCCACGGGAGATAGACATAACCTGCCAGTTCCTGAGAACCATATTTGCATTTGCAGTTGTGATTTTCTGAATGAATTTGAGGGGGGGGGGAATCTCCATAGTGTCATTTTGTGATGTCATAAGGATTCATGCACGCCATCTAAACTGCACAGACAAGAGAGTAAACTCACTTTTTGTTGCTACAGTACTGCTTGTAAGGAAATATATCTTTAACTGGAATCCATTTTGTATAATGCCTCCATCCAGAGATATGCATCAGCTTTAGTTTTTTATTTCTCGGGAATTGCTTTCATTTCTTTGTAAATGCACCTTATATGGTGCCCCTCTGCTATTGCAATCTCTGCTTCTCACGTATCAATACTGATAAGAATGTAATGTTTCATTGGTTATCCTGATTAAGCAAGGCCTGTTGAGTTTCTGTATATCATCTCTTGCTTTGTATTAAACTTTTAGAAATACTGCTTTTACACTTCGGTGTCTGGAGCTTTATTTCTGCCGGATCTGGTGGTAGAGATGAGAGAGGATAGGTTGGGCTACAGACAGAAATTGATCCTATCACTGCTTGGTCAGATAACTTCTACCAGCCTGCTAATTGGGCAGTAAAGGGTATCTTATTAATAATAAAGCTAAGTCTCTGCTTCCACCACTTAGAAACAAACTCCTAGAACCCAATAATGTGTTAGATTTACAGCACCAGGAATGATACAGAGCCTGACTGGCTTACAGTAATGGCCTTCTCTCTCTCTCTCACTCACACACACACTTTATCCCCCCTCTCTCTCTCTCTCTCTCTCTCGCACACACACTTTATCTCTCTCTCTCACACACACACATGCTCTCTCTCGTTATCTCTCTCACATTTTATCTCTCACACACACACATTTTATCTCTCTCTCTCACACACACACGCTTTACCCCCCTCTCTCACACACACACTTTACCCCCCTCTCCCTCTCTCTTTCTTCCCCCTCCCTCTCTCTCCCCCCCCATGCACACACACACTTTATCTCCCTCTCTCACTTTATCTCTCTCTCTCCCTCTCTCACTTCCCCTCTCTCTCTCCACACACCCCCCACACACTTTATCTCTCTCTCTCTCCCCCTCCCCCCTTCATCTCTCTCCCACCCCCCCCCCTCACACACACACCCCCCCTCTCCCCCCTCCCCCCCCCCCCACACACTTTCCCACTCCCCACTCCCCCCCACTCTCTCTCTCCTCCACGCCATGCTCCCTCTCTCTCCCCCCACTTTCTCTCTCTCACGTACACACACTCTCTCTCCTCACACACTCTTTCCACTTTCTCTCTCTCCCTCTCTCTCTCTCACCTCTCTCTCTCTCTCCCCCTCTCTCTCTCTCTCACTTTCTCTCTCTCACACACTTTCTCTCTCACACTTTCTCTCTCCACACACACTTCTCTCCCTCACCCACACTCTCTCTCTCTCGTGTGCTCTCTCTCTCTCACACACACGTTCTCTCTCTCTCTCACTTTCTCTCCCTCTCTCTCTCTCCCTCTCACTTTCTCTCTGTCACACTTTCTCTCTCTCACACGTTCTCTCTCTCTCTCCCCTCCCCACACCTCTCTCTCTCCCACTTCTCTCTCTCTCCTCTCACACGCTTTCTCTCTGTCACACTTTCTCTCCCCCTCCCTCCTCTCTCTGTCTCTCTCTCTCTCTCTCTTTCTCGCTCTCTCTCTCACTCTCTCTCTCTCTCTCTCTCTCTCTCTCTCACACACACACACACTTTTTCTCTCTCTATCGGCGATGTTGGAAGGTGTATATATATTTCATTGCCTTGCCAGTATTAAAATAAATTGATTACATTTTAACAAAAGATAGAGGGTGGTTAAATTAGACACAGAAACAGCTTTACAAAAACTGTGTGTCCAGTAATATAGAACAGTGAATTGTATTAGTAGTGTGCTCCAGTAGTGGTGCACCTTTGACTATACCAGCCTACTATAACTAAAGCCGATTTCTGATTTTGATGGTTTGCTTCCTGCTATCAATCTTGACCACGAAAAAAGAAAAAATAAGACTGCTAGTAAAGTGTTTTTCTTGCTCAAAGTAATTTCGGCTTATTATATTATTACCTGGATTCAGGGGCGGACTGACAACTCACGGGGCCCCCGGGCAATGGGGGATCATGGGTCCCCTGTGTCCTTGCCCAAACTCAAAAAAGCCCATGAAAACGGTACCAGGGGCATCTCATGGGGCCCCCTACTGACCCCAGGCCCTCGGGCAGTGCCCGAGTTTCCAATATAGCCAGTCCGCCCCTGCCTGGATTCTAACTAATTTCTATGGGTCAGGTGTATAGAGTCGTTTAGACTTATTACTGTTAATACCTTTAACTGACCATTGTTTTTTTTTTGTTCATTGTAATGTCAGTTGTGTTCTTGCAGATACACACATGTTCTGTCTATTTTGATATTGCTTCCATCATATTCTAGGACTACCTAATGTAATTACTAATGTTGTTCCTGATTAGTAGAAAGACAGTGAGCTGAATTAAAAAGTTAGCAATTCACAGGGATGGCTTAAAGTGATTACATTTGAAGAGGATTGCCTGATAATCAGTCTGTTGGCAGTGTAAAGGACTGATATGCATCTGTCAGGCTCTACAACCTTACTCTCTTTCTTCAGTGTTTAACCTATTTAAAAAGGTTAGTGCTTTGTGAAGTGAAATGAAAGATGAATAATGACACTTGACCAGATATGTAAATGGTAAATAATGTATTATGTAAATGCTGTCGCTGCAGTAGGTTTATGAAATGTCCCTATAGTTTTGGAGCACTTTATATGACATATTGTTTCAACATGTAAAAACAAGTCACAAATTGCCCTTTTGCTTGCTTTCATTTTACAGTAGTTCCACATGTCTAGAATACAGATTAATATATACTGACTGAAGAACACATTACTGTGACTAAAAGCAATATTTATTGCATGCAGCAAGTTAACTTCATGTAAAAGGCTATAGTATTTGTAAGCTATATGCATGTATTTAGTAACTCAAGAGGCTACAAAATGACACATACAATAATAACCAATTCTTCTTGGACTCAAAAGAGAAAAAAAATTTTCATGCTGGATAAGGGATGAATTCTTGTTATAAATGGAAACTGTTATCACTTCTAGGCAACTATAGCTCTTCTTGTTCTGATTGGGGATCACCATACTATTCTAGCAAAGAGATAAATTGATGCTCCCTTTGGGATTAATTCAGGAAGAATTGTAGGGACTAGGTCATCAGACAAGGCTCCTAGCAGCCAATGCCTGAAATTTCAACACTACCCCAGGGGCTAATGGTTTGGCTACTGAAAAAAAACCACACCATTAGTGTCATGTCCCACAGAGGAAGTCAGTTTGTAAGACCTTTCTCTTCCTGACAGAATTGTTCCTGAAGTATTAAGAAGAGCACTCACTGATCTCCCCACCAATTTTCTGGAGGGGGCTAGAACTCAAAAAAGTCAATCAGGAAATATTTATTTTTAGTTGCTGTTTGTTTGTTTCTGTATAATGCTCAGCAATGCCATACAGTATTACATTTGAAAGAAATAGTTCATCATTCTATCACTGGAAAAGTCCTATAGTAGTAAATATAGCTGGCTTAGATCTTGTTTGCAGACAATAACAATTTACACACACACACTAATGACAGAGAAGATATATTCCCCCTCCCCCATGTTCTTAGGGGCTATAGAGAGTTAGTTAGCTATTAGAATATTAGATATTAAATATTAGAATTAGAGTTGCACTATTTGAATGTAGACAGCTCATTCTGAACCTAAATTTGTGAATTGCATGTTATAGGTGTACCCTACATAAAGGGCCATTTCCAACTGGTTCAAAGTGTTGTGGTTCATTACACATGTGCTAATGTGTAGTAGTTTATGTTTTTCTTTTTAATAGATAGAATAAAATATAGATAGGTTATCAAGTGCAGTGTGGTAAAATGATAATTACTATAAGCAGTTACTGTATGCCAAGACTCAATGAGCAGGCTTGTTTCACAGTTGTATCAGGAACCCTACCCTGAGCAATGACACACAATTTATAGAAGACAGAGTATGTGTGGAAATGTGCTGAGGTGCAATAAATCACATAAAAATAGATGGAGACAATATTTAAGTGAAAAAAAATCATGGCAATGTTTACGATGCACAATGCTTTAGCAAAATGTATGTCATTCGTTAAGGGTTTACATCTAAAAAAAAAATAAGCAGAGTATTTATTAAAACAAAAAATCAAGTCAAATATATATATATATACCGTATTTTTCGCTCCATAGGACGCACCTGACCATAAGACGCACCTAGGTTTTAGAGGAGAAAAACAAGAAAAAAAATATTCTGAACCAATGGACTGCAGACACAGTACAGGGGATGACCAGAGACTGCGGACACAGTACAGGAGATGACCAGAGACTGCAGACACAGTACAGGGGATGACCAGAGACTGCAGACACAGTACAGGGGATGACCAGAGACTGCAGACACAGCACAGGAGATGACCAGAGACTGCGGACACAGTACAGGAGATGACCAGAGACTACGGAGACAGTACAGGGGATGACCAGAGACTGCGGACATAGTACAGGAGATGACCAGAGACTGCGGACATAGTACAGGGGATGACCAGAGACTGCGAACATAGGACAGGGGATGACCAGAGACTGCGGACACAGTACAGGGGATGACCAGAGACTGCGGACACAGTACAGGAGATGGCCAGAGACTGCAGACACAGTACAGGGGATGACCAGAGACTGCGGACACAGTACAGAAGATGACCAGAGACTGCGGACACAGTACAGGAGATAACCACAGACTGCGGACACAGTACAGGAGAGGACCAGAGCCTGTGGACTCAGTACAGGGGATGACCAGAGACTGCGGACACAGTACAGGAGATGACCAGAGTCTGCGGACACAGTACAGGAGATGACCAGAGACTGTGGACACAGTACAGGAGATGACCAGAGACTGCGGTCACAGTACAGGAGATGACCAGAGCCTGTGGACACAGTACAGGAGATGACCAGAGACTGCGGACACAGTACAGGAGATGACCAGAGACTGCGGACACAGTACAGGGAATGACCAGAGACTGCGGGCACAGTACAGGAGATGACCAGAGACTGCGGACACAGTACAGGGGATAACCAGAGACTGCGGACACAATACAGGAGATGACCAGAGACTGCAGACACAGTACAGTGAATGACCAGAGACTGCGGACACAGTACAGGGAATGACCCAGAGACTGCGGGCACAGTACAGGGAATGACCAGAGACTGCGGACATAGTACCTGGCTTCTGTGACAGCCAGGTGACCACTGTCGTGTGTCCCAGAAGACACCGAACCATTCACAAAGCGCGGCGCTTCTCGCGCATGCGCAGTGGGCACCCGGCTGTCACAGAAGCCGCCGCGGGAAGACTGCAGTGCAGGAGCGAGGAACAGGTAAGGTCCTGCAGGAGAAAAGAGCTGAGCGGCTGGCCTGGTATTCTGACATGGTGGCGACAGAAATACCGGACCGGCCACTTTACATTCGCTCCATAAGACGCACTGACATTTTCCCCCCCTTTTTGGGGGGAAAAAAGTGCGTCTTATGGAGCGAAAAATACAGTATATATATATTATTTATATATTTTTTTATATATATATATATATACAGTCATGGCCGAAATTGTTGGCACCCTTGATATTTCTCCAGGAAATCATGTATTTCTCACGAAACGTATTGCATTAACACATGTTTTGCTATACTACACATGTTTATTCCCTTTGTGTGTATTGGGACAAAACAAAAAAAGGGAGGAAAGAAAGCAAATTCGACATAATGTCACACAAACCTCCAAAAATGGGCTGGACAAAAGTATTGGCACCCTTTCACAACTGCGGATAAATAAGAATGTTACAAGCATGTGATGCTCCTGTAAACTCACCTGGGGCAAGTAACAGGTGTGGGCAATATAGAAATCACACCTGAAAGCAGATAAAAAGGAGAGACGTTCACTTAACCTTTGCATTGTGTGTCTGTCTGTGCCACACTAAGCATGGACAACAGAAAGAGGAGACGAGAACTGTCTGAGGACCTGAGAACCAAAATTGTGGCAAAATATCAACAATCTCAAGGTTACAAGTCCATCTCCAGAGAACTAGATTTGCCTTTGTCCACAGTGCGCAACATTATCAAGAAGTTTGCAACCCATGGCACTGTAGCTAATCTCCCTGGTCGTGGACGGATGAGGAAAATTGATGAAAGATTGCAACGCAGAATAGTCCGGATGGTGGATAAGCAGCCCCAAACATGTTCCAAAGACATTCAAGCTGTCCTGCAGGCTCAGGGAGCATCAGTGTCAGCGCGAACTATCCGTCGACATTTAAATGAAATGAAACGCTATGGCAGGAGACCCAGGAGGACCCCACTGCTGACACAGAGACATAAAAAAGCAAGACTACAGTTTGCCAAAATGTACTAGAGTAAGCCAAAAGCCTTCTGGGAAAACGTCTTGTGGACAGATGAGACCAAGATAGAGCTTTTCGGTAAAGCACATCATTCTACTGTTTACCGAAAACGGAATGAGGCCTACAAAGAACAAAACACAGTACCTACGGTAAAATATGGTGGAGGTTCAATGATGTTTTGGGGTTGTTTTGCTGCCTCTGGCACTGGGTGCCTTGACTGTGTGCAAGGCATCATGAAATCTGAGGATTACCAAAGGATTTTGGGTCGCACTGTAGGGCCCAGTGTCAGAAAGCTGGGTTTGCGTCCAAGATCCTGGGTCTTCCAGCAGGACAATGACCCCAAACATACGTCAAAAAGCACTCAGAAATGGATGGCAAAGAAGCGCTGGAGAGTTCTGAAGTGGCCAGCAATGAGCCCAGATCTAAATCCCATTGAACACCTGTGGAGAGATCTTAAAATTGCTGTTGGGAAAAGGTGTCCTTCCAATAAGAGAGACCTGGAGCTGTTTGCAAAGGAAGAGTGGTCCAAAATTCCGGGTGAGAGGTGTCAGAAGCTTATTGATGGTTATAGGAAGCGACTGATTTCAGTTATGTTTTCCAAAGGGTGTGCAACCAAATATTAAGTTAAGGGTGCCAATACTTTTGTCCAGCCCATTTTTGGGGTTTTGTGTGACATTATGTCATATTTGCTTTTCTGCCTCTGTTTTATATTTGTTCCAATACATACAAAGGGAATAAACATGTGTATAGCAAAACATGTGTTAATGCAATACCTTTTTTGTGTGAAATACTTGATTTTCAGGAAAAATATCAAGAGTGCCAACAATTTCGGCCATGACTGTATATATGTTCCTAAAAATAACAAAGCTATATTTAGGTAAGCTAATTATTCCAAGTGTTTATGATTAGATAACCGATATATACCTATGGTCATACAGAAGTTGGTAGGCCACTTAAGCCAACTTCTGGCATTCTGGTACAAGAAGGTTCTTCCTCAGGATATTTGTCTCTTTAGATTAGTAAATTATTCTATGTAATAGCCAGATTTGATTGTCTGAGCTCTGAGGATAATACCAAATTATTCTGCCAGTGATTGTTTGGCAAATATACTTATTCATCAGTTTTGAAATTCAGTAATGGCTTGCAAGGTTTATATTGAATTACTAAATAGGATGACATCATTAGGATCACTAAAGTAACAATAGGCATTTAGGGAAAATTTTTGATTGTGTATAGATATACACCAGCCCTTTATTAATTCCAGGTCATTACCACATTTCCCAATAAAAATCCAGAAGTGTATTGTTTATTCAGTATAATTTGGGAGTGCTGGACATCTATGTATAGAGGAATAATTTTTTATCCCATTTAAAAAAAATATACATGGATTTCTGAGTGGACTATATCTCCAACTCCAGGAATACAGTGAACAGTGGGCTTATGTACCGGCTTCTGGTATTATAACATTATGTAAACAGAGCTTAGTGAATCTGGTAAAATTTCAAGTGGCAAAGAATACCTAATTATCTACAAGGAAAATTAAAAACAACATTATTCCTTGCGCATACTGTATTTATATGATGAAAGTCAACAGAACGTCACCTTATTTACTAAGCTCTAGGGAAACTACCCTTACAAAATGTAACTTCCATTATAAAGTTGCTGGGAGTGCAGTGCAGTGTGGTGGCAGTAAATATACGGAGTCCAATTGCAGGAACAGAAATTGTGTTAAAGTCAAAGTTTACCTTTGCAAACAGCTTCGCTTGAAGGCAGAGACGTAGCTAGGATATTTTGCACCCGGGTGTCGAATGGCCACCTCATGACACCCCCCCCCCCGCTTCATATGGTCCCTGTATCACGATCACATTGCCCCCCCCCTTCATCCATGGCACTACTCATCCGGCTCGGCTCTCCCCTCGTCCCCTCCGGCACATGCCCGGCTCAGTGCCCTCCTCTCTCCGCTCCTCTCCCGGCTCCTCTCTCCTCTTATAACTCACTATGGATGGCAGACGTATCAGATGACACGTCTGCTGCAGCCGCTGCAGTGATCTTGTGACCTAATTTTGGCACCCCTGAACCTTGGCGCCCGGGTACATATGTACCCCCCTGCCCCCCCAGCTATGTTTCTACTTGAAGGCCCCTGATCGGGCCCCTAATAGTTGTAACAGCAATGTAGAACAGAGCACGTCTCAAGCATTCTGACAGTGTCTGTCTCAGTCAACAGAATACAGTCTGGCCAGTCTGCATCCAAATGGGAGGATTCCAGCACAGATTACGTGTACCTATCCTGTTCCTAGTCATCTGAAACCTTTCTCTACCAGTATTCACTTTCCCTGACAGATTGGTGACCTGTCCCTTTGCTACCCACTCATAAAATGCATGTCAAGCCCAGCAGTCAGGATCTTAAATAGCCTCTGTCTGACCCAAAGGCCACCAGAGACACATGGGGTGGAAGCATCCAACTGGATAGCTTCCCCAGTGACCCAGGAAACCATAGAGGAAAATTGTTCCTCTTGATTTCTTCTTCCTCTGCAATGCTGCTTTGATTGAGCGCCACCTGCATTGGAGAAGGTAGACTGCACCTGCCTACAAAGTGATTAGTTAATTGACCTTTAGTAAACCAACCCTGTTGTATTTTTTTTGTTTTGTACTGTAACAGATTATAAACAGATCACAGAGTGATGGCAGGGAGATGATTGTTTTTGTGTTACTAATACTTTAGTTGCTGTTTAGTTGCTTCACTTTTCATATGTGTTTTTTTAGTTTCAGTTAGGTTTAAGCAAACAGAGGAGGGGGAGGGTTGGGTTTGGTAAAAAGTGCCTAAATACTGTGCATTAAACACACTTTATTGTTGTTTAACTGCTTCCCCTGTCACACCTATTCACACCCTATGGACCAGAGCAATTTTTACAATTCTGCTATGGACCTGTTTATTCAGCAACAACTTTGTCATTTCTTAAGCAATGCTTTCTATTCATATCTTAGAAAAATGATTTTTTCACAATTTTTGGACAATAAAACTTAACAAATAAAAAAAAAATAAAAATACTGTACTAGGCTGTAGAAGGTCTTTCCATGTTACTTTGAGGGCAACATCAAAAATACAAGAACCTTTTAATCAACATGCTTGGGTGATGTCTTAAAACTTTATATTGAAACTTTAGTAATACAAGTTAATAAAAAAAGATGCTCTTAGCAAGGAACATACTTCCACATTAATATTTATGTTGTAAAAAAAAAGTGTGTGATGTAAATTGCCTCCAGCATTGTTCCTGTTTCTTTTAACTGGAGCCCCCCATTTTTTTGAAGCCCAGAGCAGTCACTTCCTTATTGAGAACTCTCTCCCTCTCCTTAATCTCAAAAACTATGAGAGGGATTTACTAAAACTAGAGTGTGCAAAATCTGGTGCAGCTCTGCATAGAGACCAATCAGCTTATAGTTTTTTTGTCAAAGCTTTATTCAACAAGCAGAAGTTAGAAGCTGATTGGCTACCATGCACCACCACAACAGATTCAGAGTGGTTCTGTTTTATTAACTCCCCCTCTATATGTCACTTTCTATAATTAAAATGTGTGCATTTCTAACCTTCATTGTATGTTCTGACACAGCTAGAGGGGAAGGCTGCAGATGCAGTAAGAGAGCTCAGGTTTACAGCTGCTAATGCCACTGCCAAGAGAGAAAGGAGAGATAATCAGGGACATGAGGCACTATCCTTCTAAGCTTAACTCTTTTGTGTCTCCCTGGAAGTAGAATTTGTCCTGTCACCTCTCCTGCTTTTCTCTTCTCCCTCCCTAATTTGTTTTCCATGGATACAGTCAGTGTTATTACTGATGCCCCCCCCCCCCAGCAGTAAATCTTGAGGCTGTCAGCTGATCGGCCTCTAGTGACTCACCGATTATCAGCAATGTGCCAAGAAAATGGAACAACTGACCATGTGCAGAGCAGGGTGAGACAGTTCATCACTGGATTTTAATCAATATAGGCACTTATTTGTAATGTTTTACATAGCTATACCTCAAAAAGGACCAACATGAAGTGATCTATCAGAGCTTAATTTTCGGGCTAAAGTTCCACTTTAAGCAGTGTTACAGAACCGTATGATGTTCCTGGACATTTTTTTCTTTTACAATTATCTTGACTTGCATACAGCTGCAGCCCCCCAATCTGATTCATTTAGTTTTCAAAAAAAAAAAAAATTCAGGTAACTTTAGCAGTGACTTTCTATTTCATTAAATGGTAAAGAACCTGTTTTGACGGGCCAAAAGTTCACTCTGTTGCTGTCCTTTTTCATGCTCATTCAGAACTGTCATGCCACTGGCCACTTTCTGTCAAGCTATAATTAGGACTTAAGAGACCACAGATGATACAGCAGTGTAAGCTAACCCACAGCAAGACAATTTAAACTTACTAAGGTCAGGTCCAAATTTACTAGAGACAAAAGCTAAGGCTGGGGCTTTATTACAAGAATACAAATAGATGCAGAAGTATATAATTGGTCAGCAACAAGACAGTTTTTTTTTAGGGATAATAGTTCTAATTGGTATATGTCTAACTTTTATTTTATATATGGGTGTCAGGAAAATTGAGTGCATGGCTGTGCCTGAAGATCTGCAAGTGTGCATGGTGCAGCACTTGGACCAGTAAATAAAAATCAAGGCTGTGAGTGCAGTGCCCCACTCAAATTAGTATTGCACGTGTGCATTAGAGTGAACTAGCGTGCAGGTCCGGCACTGGCTTATGACACCCAGAGGCCTACTTAAAGCTCAACATAACTAAGGATAATTGCTGAGAGACCTCCTGTGACTTATAACCAAACCTGCATCCTTCTATCTTTTATTTGACCTGGTTTTTCTATTGACTTTGCTAAATCCTGATCTCTTGTTGTTGGCCTTGGCTTGTTTGTCCTGATGTCATTTTCTTTATGCTGTTTCGATACTGCTGCTCATCAGATATCAACCCCATCCTGGCTGCTGACCCCACTCCTACCTTTTGATTATTAGCTCTTCAACTCCATCATTGCTGACTCTAGCTTGTCTTGAACTCTGCAAGTTCCTGTTGTCCCACCTAGTCTGAGCCTCTGCAGCATCCAGACTTTCATCTGACCACCCACCATGCTAGGACCTACCACAGACATCCATGCCACCCCTCATCCTGCTACACAATGTCATCAATTCCAGGGGGTTTTAAACAGGAGGTGAGAGAGAAGCAGTCTCATTAACTTGGCCTCTGCCAGGTACGGTATAGGTGGTTTCATTTTTTCAAATGATGCAGTGCCCTGCTGTGAACTAAAGAACTAATGGACAGTATAAAGAGAATGGTCCACTGTGTCTAGCAGCAGCTTTTCTTGTTGAACCACCTGAGATGCTAGACAGCTCCCTGCCTGATCCTTTGGATGAAAATACTTTTTATTTTGTTTCTTGTGAACCTTGAACTCCTTGCTTCTCCCATGAACTTCCTATTTAAGCCATGCCTTTTCATTTTGTGTTTGCTAGAATATTGTACCCTTCTACAGCCAAAATCATGCTCCTTATGCTCCTGCTGCCATTTGCTTCTTCATTACCATATGGTACTGACCTTTGGCTTGTTCCTCAGTGATGCTTCCACTTAATATCCACCTGCTACCATTTGTTAACTGGCCTTTGGCTTGTTCCTCAACTACATTTCCACTTTATCCCAACCAGCAACCACTTGTTACCGACCTTTGGCTTCTTTACCAACATCACTTCTGCTTGATCTCTACCTGCTATACCTGCTACTGCACCCCAGCTTACTCACTTCCTTGGGGGGGCAATCTTGAGGTCTGTAACCTGGCATTAGCATGAAGTGAAACTCATATGAAGTATTAAGAGCTCTGGTGATGACAGGTTAGTGCTCAGACCCTGCACCTCAGGTGAGCCTACGTCATCTGCCAGGGGAATCTGCCCATGTATTTATGCTGCCAGAAAAACAGAAGACTGGCAGCAAATAAAAGCAAGTAAAAGTGGTATCAAACCCAAAAATGAAAATGTAAAATATTGGAACTTACCAATACTTCAATGTGGTAAGTGCATTTGTTTCCTTTTTTAAGCTTTTTTCCTTTATTTTACTTTGTGATCCAGTCAGTAAATACTTCCTGTCTTGGGGTGTAGTAAAACAGACACCTTTTACAGCAGGATTGTCAGTGTGGGGGAAGAGTAGAGTTGGACTAGCAGATTTAAATGGACTTGACTAACAAATTTAATTTATACTCCAGCTAACACTTTATAAGCAATTAGAGCAAATTCTTGTTTTTCCCTTTTTTAGGGATAAAGGTTTTACATAAATGAATAAAAGCTGGCCACTAAAGGTACATTAATTAGTGTTAAATGGTTTGTCTCAACCCTGTAACTGCTACTTTGACTTACTGACTGGACCGTGTGAAAATAAAGGAAAAAAACCTAAAAAAAGAAAATGAATGCAGCCACCACATCTAAGAATTGATAAGCTGAAATGTTAATATATTTTTGTTTTTGGGTTTAAGTTCAAATAAATACATTGCAAAATAAAAGAGTTTGCTATGAAAGTGACTGCTAAAATCAACCACAAAATAAAACAAATGACAAAAATCCACCAATAATAAGAACAAAAAAAGGCAGCAAAGGAGTTGACTGCTAAAATAGCTAGCAATCAGAATTAAAGTACAGTTGACTGACGCTAATCTCTTGCATTTTTATCAGGTTTCCCTATCCTTTCTCAACAACAGCTTCTAATTATCTAACACAATCGCTGCTCTGTGCCCTTCCTTTTACAGTGATGGGGCTGGCTTGTCCTAAAGCCCCCTAATGGCCCAACTAAGTCTGCTGCCCATAGTTCAAAGGCACTACAGTGTATTATGGCTCAATGAAAATTCTCCCAGGTGAATCTGTACAACAAAACTTTGCAGGGGTTGTAGATCCTGAACCTGCAGGATTTGCTTTGAACTCATGGTAGATATGAGCCCTAACCCTATCCCTAATTCTGATTGAATGCTCTGATGTTATCTGATTCCTGCTCAGACCACTTTCTTGAGAGCTTCGCTCATCACTTCAGTGTCTGTCCCACCTGATAGTTATCAGTCATCCTTGGTGACAGAGTAGATCCTCCAAACTCCGTGACACATCAGCTTTGATGTTTGCATACTAATCTGATTCCTTAAAAAAACATTACAAAAGAAAGACATTTTACCACAATACCAGTGTGGCCTTGCAAAGGCTATGTTCACTGGAATGGGTGACCCTGTAACATGTTAAATAATGAATGTCTTAATTTCTGTGTCAGTATTTTTATTCAACTTGGCATTCATTTTAATCTCTATTCAAGCAGACATTTCTGTTAACATTTCCAGCATTTCTTGCATGTACTTGGTAACTTTGTACCTTGCTGCTCAGCAAAACCTCATCACTTTCCATTATAGGAATCTCTTGGGAAACACGTAAGGACAAGTTAGACTATTGAACTCCCATGGGCATTTATACACTTAGATAATATGCAGTTCTAACACTGCATAATGGACTTTTTAGTACGCAAAATAGATTCACAATGTAAGAGGGTCTGAACACTAGATGGTTCAAGCTCACATCTGTCAACCCTCTAATCAAGGCAAACTGCAATTAATTCACATTATGTGCTTTTGGAAAAAAAAAAATTCATTTTCCACAGGCATTCTCTAGAGACACACTTATAGAGTAATGTTTTTTTTTTTTTTTTATATAAAGGGATAGATTTGAAGGCAAATCTGATTCTTTCAATCAATTTATTCTCACCTCACTCAGTGACTTCACAATGAATATAAAGTCACAGATCTGGTACCTTAATGTGAAAACGGTGAAAAAATCAGTGGATTATGCTGAAAGGGGAGAGAAAGCAAGGGTGAGATGCATGCTTGTTGACTACTTGAAAGTAAAGAGAGTGAGCATACTGCATTCTTTCTATGAAAGAAAGCAGGGAGGGCTCACATGAATTTTATACTTTTAAAAGAGAGGCTCATCAAGCTTGCCAGCTCAGCCTTTTAATTACTGACACATCTGGATTACATGTGGATTACTGGGTTCTGATTAAATTTGAATAGATCACTAACTAAATCGAAAAAAAAACAGTACTTGTATAACATAAATGTCATAAGCGCTAATAGCATACATTGTGTTATTAAAGTAGAACTCCAGACAAACAGCTAAATACACAAATAAATATATATTTGTCACTTTATCTGTGTGATATTAGGGAACTCAGCAGAAGCATTTGCAATAAAACCACAATAGTCTGAACTGTAGTTTTAAGGCTTGCCAGACCACTTTTATTGAACAAACTTAAAGAAAAGTTTGAAATAGAACATTTTCAAACCCATGCAGAGATTTTCACCAGCAAAACAAATAACAGAAAATGCTGAGCCACCTGGCTCCCTCTTTATCAGCACTACTGTTCTTTTAACTGGTCCCTCAGACTGTCTTACCAGTCTCTCCTGGTTATTTGGGGGCTCTCTCTCTTCAGTAGAACACATCTGTCTCCTAACAGGAACACACACTTGTCTCCAAAAAAGGGAGCTCTGCACTATGGTCAGTCAGGCCCTTGCTTATAATGAGCAGGGGCAGACTGACCATTGGGGAACTTGGGCACTGCCCGTAGGCCCAGGTAAGTAGGGGGCCCCATGAGATGCTCCTGGTACCTTTCATAGGCTTTTTTGGGTGTGGTTTGAGCATGGGCGAGGACACAGGGGCCCCATGATCCCTTATTGCCCAGAGGCCCCATGAGTTGTCAGTCCACCCCTGATAATGAGTGTACACACCTGCACACTCACACAGCCTGCAGGTCTCCAATAAGATTGAAGGATTTTCAGTTGTATAGTTACACAGTTAATCTAAAAACACACAAATAGAAAACATCCAAATACACTATCCAATATCCACACTTGACCCAGAGGAAGTCAAAAAACCCTCAATTAAGAATGATGCAATTTGCAAATTCCCTCCTGATCCCCCAGGAAGCATATTCCCTGGATCAACTAGGTCCTCCTTTACTTTCGCTTTGAGATCACTTCTCGTGTAGAGACAGACACCACCACCTTTCCTTTTTACCCTATCTCTCTGAAAGAGAACATAGGCAGGAATATTAATGGCCCAGTCATGTGAAGAATGAAGCCAAGATTCAGCAATAACAATTAAATCATAGTTCTGTTCGTGCACCAAAGCTTCCAACTCACCTATTTTGCTTGGCAGTCTTCTGGCATTGGTGAACAAGCACTTCAATTCATTGTCACATTTTGCACATGTATTTTGCACATTTTTATGCAGTAAAAATAGTACCATTTCCAATGGTTGTTTATAACATGGGAACCTTCTTATCACCTGCCATAGCCCTCCCCCCATTCCACCTACCATTAGGAACTTACCTCTGCCTGACCCGTCTGACCCATTGTAATCTAAATCATCCTCCCCCTTAATCCTAGTTTACATACTCTTCCAGCCTTCCCATAAACCTCCTCCCCAGCAAGCAGACCCCCTTCCTTTTAGGTTCAAACCATCTTTTTGCACCCCAATGAAAAGTCAGCCCAGTGCTCTAGAAACCCTAATTCTTCCCTTCCCCGTGTCTTTAGCCATGCATTCAGTTCTCTAAGCTCCCAAGACTCTCAAGACTATAAATCCCACCTAAGACTCTTCGAAAACCTTTGGCTCCGGATGCTGAAGTGGGATTAAAAAAACCCAGAGCAAACTGAAATTCAGTCTTTTTCACTCAGACACAACACTTCAGAGTCACTCAAGCTGCATTCTTGAGAACCCCATATTTCTTCTGCCTACACTCACACAGTGGAAGGACCTAGCACTGTCACACCTGCCAAAAGTTTTTGTCCATCCATCTCTAAGATTTACACAGCTCTGCCATACACCCCAGTCTGTCTGAATGTTACAGTGAAAGAAAAATCAGCAGACTGAGGAGCTCATCTCTCTGTCAGACTGCCCTCTACTCCTATCAGCATTTTTCTTCTGAGCACTGCAGCACAACTGACCTGCTCCTTCTGTTATTTTTCTCTCATGCAGTCTAAGCTCTGCTGTATAGGGGATTGTAAGATGATAATAGGTCAAATTCAGGTATTTACACTGCCTATATTTAACATACATACATACATAAATAAATGTAATAATGCATTTGTAAATACAAAGCTGCAATAATGTGTGTCTTTTAAATTTGCTGAATTAGCATTAATATTACAGTAATAATATTGAATACATTATAAATAAAATGTAATTAGCTTATTCAACAACAGTTTTTAACCTTTTTTTCAAATAAAGATTAAATGATTATTACTAATGTAACTGATGTAATTACAGTATTTTCTGGCGTATAAGACTACTTTTTATACTTAAAAATATACCCCAAAAACTGGGGGTCGTCTTATACGCAGGGTATAAATTTGAACCTTGAGTTTGTTTGGGTCAAGCTGGCTGGATGTGTGGTAATACTGTACATACAGTATACCGTGCTGAGCCAAGCTGGCTCAAAACAAAATGTCCCTATGACAGATTAATCGGTCAGCCCATTGGATGTGCGGTATATACAGTATACTGCACTGAGCCAAGCGGTTTCAAAACGTACCGGTACATCCCTACTGTAATCAGCCCACTGGATGTGTGTATGTACGGTAGCTGCGGCTACATACAGTATACACTGGGCCAATCATGGTGAGTGATGTATTCTACTAATGAATACAAAGCCTGCTCGGATTGGCTGAGTCAGAGAGGTGGGCTGATGATGTCACAACCTTAGCCAATCCGTGCAGGCTTTGTATTCATTAGTAGAATACATCGCTCGCCGTGATTGGCCTAGTGTATACTGTATGTAGCCTTAGCTACTGTACATACACACATCCAGCAGTCTGATTACCGTAGGGACGTCCTGGTACGTTTTTGAAACAGCTTGGCTCAGTATACTGTATACACCACAGTGGTATATACTCAGTATACTATATATATACCGCACATCCGCGGGCTGACAGATAAATCTGTCATAGGGACATTTGTTTTGAGCCAGCTTGGCTCAGCGCGGTATACTGTATGTACATTACTGCACATCCAGCGGGCTGTATATATACTGTATACAGTATGTAGCCGAAGCTACCGTATTACCGCACATCCAGCGGTAACCATCTGATTTGGAATTTGATCCATATGATGACTGTCTTACAAATGTATCACAAGATGTCATTCATGAACTTATGATGTCAGTGGATGAATGAGGATTTTGAAGGATTTTAAGTACCGGTAAGTCATAACCATTTCAATTAAAAAATCTGATGTTTTTAAATGGTGTTGCCTCAGAAGGGGGGTAGTCTTATACCGCGAGTATAGCCCAAAACCCATGTTTTAACAGGAAAATTAGGGGGTCGTCTTATACACCCAGTCACCTTATACGCCAGAAAATACGGTATTTATTCAAATAATGTGTGTAAAAGTAATGTGTGTAAAATAATGCCAGTGTCAGGATGAGATGGTGGACCATTGCATATGTTATTAAAAATGCAATGACTGCCTAATGCCTAAGTAGAGTACTGACTTTGAACTTTTTTAAAATGAGCAAAGCATGTGTGCCATCCCTTCCTGACAAAGCAATCCTTCTAATGCAGGCATGCATACCAGTGTCCAGGGTGTTACCTAGGACCTCCTTGATGGCACCTTCTCCTGAGTACTAGGGATGACAACAGGCATCATCTGTCAACATCTGACCTTTGTGTTTAGAATTGGCACCCTTTTATAAGGACCCTATTCAAAGCACTCTCCATGCTAAGGAGAACTGCGGATACCAGCCTGCATGCATCATGCCTAAGTCTAGTGTTATCTTAAGAAGTAGAAGAAAATACTTTTAAATAATACAGCGGATGTGACATGTTAATGCTGACCTGTCAATTTTCGTTAAATAACGTTTGATCATCTCCATTACACCTTCAATTACACTCTAACATTTAATTTTAGTGATGGCACTAAAAGTGTCTGTGTCTTTAAAGATTCAAATAAAGAATTATTGTATTTAACACTACTTCATCTTAAAATGTGACATATTTCTTACATTTTTCTGTGACATCATTATTTTCAGGATTAAAATATGAATTAAATCTCAGATTTAGAAAAACAGCTTCCTAATCTCTAGCTCATGACTTAGAACTTAGGTATACAGCCTGTGGGTTGAAGCCTCAATTGAGGTGCTATAATACATGATTAGGATTTAAATTAGTTCTACTGAAATGTACTCAGAAAACCATTTTAAAATTCTCCAAGCCAAGAGTACCAGAAAATAGTACAATGGCACCTGGGGCCAAAACATAATGGAGCTAGAAGACAACTTGCATCATGTCATTCTATGTTGTCTGATGTTATTGAAATGCCTATTATTTTATTATTAAAATCTACAATTACCAAAGCCAAATGTATATAAATAGCTTTGAAAAATTTTAGCACACATACTTATTTCTTTTAGGCAGTTCAGTGTCAGATGGTACGTGAAATTCTTGGGGTTCAGTTAATAGAGGGACAGAAGACAGAAAAGAATAGTCTCCTGAAACAGAAATGTCTATTATGTCTACCATTCAAAAAAGCAAAAACATTTGAATAATTGTCCATTGATAATAAAGTAAAGCCACGGACTCCTATGAAAAATATTTGCTGCACCACCTAAATATAAGTATCTCTGAATTCACATTTTTCTCTTAGGCAGGCCATACATTAGTACATTTTCAAATGAACTCTTGTATGAACATTTGTATGGAAATTCTCATCAGTATATTTAAATAACATGACAAACATCACTTGAAAGTACTTTTATAAAGTTTGCTTTTGACATTCTATTTTGAGATGGACTTTCCCAAATGTAAACCACAGTTGCTGTTAGAAATTCATTTTTCTGAAAAAATGTGTATTCTGCTCCTTTAAATTCTCACGCTATTGTGCCTAAAAATGAATGCTGGGGTCAAATTAATGGACAGAAAATTAAAAAAATTGAACATTCTTAAAATGGAAATATTAAAATGAAATTGTACTAGTGTATGGCCAGCTTTTGTGCGGCTGAAAAGTCCCACAGATACCTGTTGAGCCTACCAGTGAAGTCCACATAATGCCTCATGTCTCATCAAATTTTGCACTAACATACTGTAGCTTCTTTTATAAAGAATCTGATGCATCAAGCCTAAGCCCCTTTTAAATAATCTTTACTATTTAATTATACTATTTCTTTTAGTAATATGAATATTTAACAATAGATGCATTAAATATAAACTACTGACTTTAGACATATAAATAAATCACCCAATCAAGGTCATATCAACTATGAAATAATAAAAAGTTTTTTTTAATGTTACTTATTATGTTGTTAACATCTTCACATGATTTTTTATGCTATAATAATATTGCTTACACTAATCATTATATTAATATCAGTTTTCTCACAAATTTATTGATATATTTGCTTGTCAACTCACTGAACAATACTTACAATATACACATATTTGATAAACATATTTAGGAAAAGAAAGGATATAACATATCCTGATCAGTTTTAATAAGTGATTGGTCTTATAAAAGTAGAACTTTAGTCAAAAAATTAAGTGCTGCTAGATCACTTAGGATTGTCCCCTTTTGCAGGTGTGGCTATGTAAAAAATTAAAAAGTGCCTATACTGTTTAAAATGCAGCAAAACATTGTCTAACTCTACTCTACACAAGCTTAGTTGCTCTCTATTTTTAGGCACTTTGCTGAAAATATAGA